CTAGTTATGTGTAGTAAGAGGTTGTAATGTTAGGTCAAAAGTTACTGTACAAATATATATATATATATATATATTAATAAATTTGCTGATTGCATTAGTTTTCAGCTCCCTAAGTCAGTATTTGGTGGAAGCACCTTTGGCAGCAATTATTGCTGCAAATCTTTTTGGATACGTCTCTACCAGCTTTGCACAATGGGATGGTGTAATTTTTGCCAGTTCTTCCCGGCAAAATTACTCCAATTCTGTTAAGTTCGTTGGGGATCGTTGATGGACTGCAATCTTCAAGTCTCGCTAGACATTTTCCATTGGATTCAAGTGAAGACTATGACTGAGCCACTTCAGAACATTCAATTTCTTCTTTTGAAACCACTCCAATGTGGCTTTGATCTTGTGCTTCGGGTCATTGCACTGCTGAAATGTGAATTTTCGACCCAGTTTTAGATTATTGACTGACTCAAGTAGGTTCCCTCATGGATTCGCCTGTACTTTGTACCATCCATCCTCCCCTCAATCCAGCTTTGTGTAGGGATCGGAATATTGTCGATGTGTGAACACCGACTCCCATATCAAAGTCACTGTTGGCTTCACAGTGACATACTTAACCAGTTTCCTGCTTGCCCAGCTGCTTAGTTTGGAAGGGTGGCCTGATCTGGGTAGTGACTGGGAGGTATGAAGCAAATTCCACTTCTTAATGATGGACTCACCATACTCAAAGGGATAATAAGCGACTTTTAATTTGTTTTATAACCTTCTCCTGATCTGTGCTTCTCTACCACTTTATCCCTGACTTGTTTGGAAAACTCTTTGGTCTTTATGATTGGTTTGCTGTATCACTATATGAGTTGTGGCTGGAACAACTGCATTTACTCTGAAGTCAAATTAAACCATTTTAATTACACACAGACAGAGATCATTACACTAATTTTGTGACCTTTCAAACTAATCTTTTGCACCTGAACTGATTTAGGGTTGTCATAGAAAAGGGGTTGAATACTTATGCGAATGAGACTATTATAACTTTCTTTGAAAATCTGACTTACTTATATAGTATCAGCATTTTTTAGCTTTCTCAGTTTGGAGTAGATTGTGTAGATTCTAAATATAAAGACTGTAGCCTTTCAATTACTTAGATACTTAGTTCCAGCGTTAAAATAAAAATAAAACGCACTTTTATTAATTTGTTTAAGTTGCTAAAAGAAGCTTTTCTCTCCAAAGTAGATGTAATGAAGTGGCTAAGTTACAACAAGCAAGTATTTATTGTTACATCACTGAAAATAAACAAGCAATATTGATTTGAAAGTCGATAAATAAAAATGACAGATTATGAAAAGGTAATCTACACAAAGAACTGTCGACTCTTCAGAGGAGGAATAGGGGCCATGCCTCCTAAAAGACTTTGAAAAAATAAAAAATGTCTTATTTTTTTTATTAATATCTATATTTTCTTTGTTTTAGACGTCAAATTATTTAAAAACTGAATATTTTTGTAGCAAAAACCTCAAAAGATCTTCTTATTCCGTTCTATGTCATTCATCGAGATGACATCTCGCATCGTGAGGCACAGAACAATTGCGTCTCTAAGCTCATTATTTCACTTGTTATCTGTACAATTTCGCTATGCTACGACGGAAAGAACCGAGAGGAGCCGAACCTTCTCACCGGGTTTCACAAGGATTATGAGGTCGGCCGCACATCTAATGGAACCAATCGGAATCTAGGTTTTAAAATCATCCAATAAAAATGATTTTAAGTAGTCAGGAGGAGCACGCAAGCCTCAAAAAGACGCTGTGATCAATTTAGTGATTCTCTGATTATTCGGTGTTTTTAAGGATATGAACAGTTCAAAGCTAGCTTCATTAAATAATATCATTTTAACAGAGTGACGATTTATTTTGACTTGAAGATTATTTCGAAGTTTTACAGTTTGAAAAATAGTTAGGCCTTGTCTGGCACGGTGACGTTACTATCATGTTTGCAGCTATGAAAGACCGATGACTCGAATTCGCGTATAAATATACCGAGATGCCTAGTAGATTACTGTTCTCTATTTTGGGAGTGAGATTAAAACATCTTCCTCAACATTAACAGCAAGTTTTTGTTGACACAATTTTGAACTGATAGGGCTGGCAGCTAGTTAACAGCATCCATCGCTATGCAACACTTGAGCTACTCTTATCTGACCAAATAGTGAGATATGACTGTCATCTTATAGTGCACCCACGGCCACAAAATGCGGGGCGCCATTTTTCATCAGTAGGACACGAACTATGATTCCTATAGTTCACAGTTTGGGCACGCTAACCACATTGACATTCCTGGACCGTAAAAAAAATGAATCAAGTAATATGTTGTACTCTTCATTATGTTTTGCCATTTTTGTTTCTTATGATACGGAGTAACGCATCCAGTTGCAAGTGACATTTTATGATACAGGGAATAATGCATCGTCTTATAACTGATATCTTATGGTACAGGGAGTAACGCATGTAATTGTACGTAACATCTGCATTACATTCACATAGTTGCCACATTTTTTCCAAGTTTTATTTACCCCAGGTTTTCTCTAATTGTACACGAGTGCGTACCACATACTGACCTTTCAACTTTCATTCGTAATTGTACTTAAATGACACCATTTTATATTGTAATCTGGTTATAAAGAGTAATAAAAACTTCAGATACGCTTACTTTTATAATACTGAAAAAGACCTTCAAGCAACGACATTAGAACTTGAGCGTAGAAAATAAAATGTTACATTTGTATTTGAGCTAACTTATCATCAAACACAGTGAATTAAATAGTCATCACCAGGTTAATGAAAGTGACCGACCAAGATTATGTTCATTTACACCAACAACTGACAACTGATTTGTGGCCATGTACTGGTTCTGAGGTTAAAAAAAATAGAAGGTCCACAATATTTCCAGATTCTTTACAACCCTGGATTAGTGCGTTAAACTTACAGCTGCAATTAGAGCCACGCATACTCATAACAAGCTCACTGGTTAACGTAGGTGGTGTATATTATTACCTAACTAATATGGACGAAAGTAATTTATAGTAGATTAGGATTCAACCGTGGTACATGGGAATTAACTGGAGTTAGAAACGTGTGTTTCATATAGCCAAAATAGTTATTACTTTTGATATTCGTATTCTCCAGTGTAACGATTATGAGGTGCAAGGAAGTCTGCACTTCCATTGTTACATGGTATCTGTTGTAGAGATAACGACCTTAATACTTGTGAACCAGATATGCAACAATAGATACAAATCTACTCGTTGTTTCAGTGGGAAATATTAAATACATCTATATTAAGTGTATTAGTACGTTTTTTTTTTAAATGAGACTTAAGATTACGATGCATTCCACTTACGGGTATTACACACACAATATTATTGGTTGAAATAAAATAAAAAAAGAACAATTTTAACATTTTCAATTGGTGTGCTTTTAATTAGGTATTATAACGTCATAAACGTTGAACAACAATGAAATTACCTGTATTCTTCGGGAACACATAACAAGGAGATTTTTCACTGAATGGATGTTACATAATTTACTTACCGACAAGTTATTGTACTCGGTTTTTTCGTAAGGCCTCTTTCCTTCAGTCGCTTTTCAAAATCATCGTCACATTCCTTAATTTCATCTTTTCCATAACATTCTCCGCCTTTCCAGTATTCTACATAATTTGAATAATATTTATAAATGCTACTCTTATGTACTATGAAAAATGAAATTCTGATGTACCTCTATAATTTCATTGTGTGTAATACCGAGTTTCCATTTTTTCTTAAAATTTTCATTTCAGGCTTCCCTTCGCTTAGTCGTTGGCTAAAACCTTTAACCACTATTGCTTAAGTTTACCCAACTATAAAATGAGTACCAAATAATGTCTAGGGGTTAGCCTGCGATGGACTGGCGTCCAGTGACGTTTTGGGGATATTTCATTTGAGGAGCCGAAAGAGGGGGGCAAAGAGGTATTGGATTCAGAAGGGATGTAACAGAAGAGGGTTAAATGTTATTAAATACAAAAGAAATATGCCATTACTTTTTTTTATTATCAAAAAAGCTGGATTTAGCTCAGACTCTTCTCACTGTTTTGTGGCGATCTGGTTCTGTTACAAACTACCATTATTATGACTCATCTGGTTGGAGGTACTTTTTTATATTCGAGTTAAATAGGATGACTACCTCGTCCGTTACACAAAATTAGCACCTTTATGTTAGTGGGATCCACAATGTATGGAGAATTTAAGACCCTTAAAAGACTAAATCCTGAAACCTAGCTGTCTAGCGTTTTGTCGTGTATTTTGTTTTGTATTTATGGCAAAGCTTCCAAGGCTATCTATCTGCTGCTTCCCTTATTTTGAACTATTGAACACAAGGAAGACAGCCAGTCAGCAGCAGCTTACCATCCATGCTCAAGGAATTGACTGTCACTGTGATAAATCAGGACTTTTGATAAGCACATAAAACATACTGGTTCGCCAGATTCAAATTCCAGAGCTCTACCACAGTGTCAACCCGCGTCTCGTTGTCTATATATTTAGTCCATTATTTGAAATGTTATTTGGTTACCAAATGGGTTATCTACATTTTTAGACGTAGAAAACATCTATAACATATAATGAAGAAGCAGCAACTGAACTTACTTAACGAAACTCCGAAAAAAGTATGTATTTGGAAAAATGATTTGAAAACTTCCCCATATTAGCATCTGTTATATGATTTCATCGTAATAGTTCTTTTAAATTTATAAAACTAGTCAGAGATAGCTTATTTATTATTCAATCTTTGTGCCACCTAATGCTTTCTGAGAAATTTCATATCAGTTGGGTCCAAGCCCTTTTGAATGTAAACATATCGTTGTGGTTTGATCCAGACTATAGATATGGGATATATAATCCAACAGATGCAGCTGAATTAACTACCTTAAGCTAACAGCAGGCTGAAACAAACAAGTTCGCTTACTTTCATTCAGGTCACGAAAACCTGCTATTTCTTAGATAGGCCTGGCCTGGCTAGGTGGTTGGGGCGCTCGACTCGCAATTCGAGGGTTGCGGGTTCGAATCCCCGTTTCATCAAACATGCTCGATCTTTCAGTGGGGGCGTTATAACGTGACGGTCAATCCCACTATTCGTTGGTAAAAGAGTAGCCCAAGAGTTGGCGGTGGGTGGTGATGACCAGCTGCCTTCCCTCTAATTTTACACTGCTAAATTAGGGACGGCTAGCGCAGATAGCTCTTGTGTAGCTTTGCGCGAAATTCAAAACAAAGAAGCAAACAAACTTCTTAGGTCTAAATGCATTACAACGTTAATTATACCGGGCATTGGTAAAGTAATCTACTCATATTAAATGATAATTAATTTTATTATGGTTCGTATTTATTGTATTTGAATGAAAAATAAAGTAAAGATTAACCACGGACTTGCGTTTAGAGAATGTCTTTAAGTAAGTCAAATATGTCGCAGTTGATTTAAAAAAAAAGAACTCTGTGAGGGTAAAATATAACGGTTATGTTGCAAGTCTTTCTTTGTCGATAGGACTTCTTTGCTTTCATATACACAGTATTGTAATCTGTACCTGTAACTTACACGAACAGCTCCGAAAAAAAACCCATATAGGTTGTTACCCTTTCCAGAAAAGTGTACTGGATACAAATCGACATGATCTATCGTGTCTCGCCGTCTGGTAGCCCTCATTATGGCTTTCACGTAATGACTTTATATATCATTAATGCAACATGTAAATTAAGCACATATTGATTTCACGATGATTTCCCAGATTCTTTACCATCCTGGATTAGTGCGTTAAACTTACAGCTGCAATTACAGTCATACATACTCATAACAAGCTCACTGGTTATCGTAGGTGGTGTATATTATTACCTGACTAACTTGGACGAAAGTAACTTATAGTAAATTAGGGTTCAACCGTGGTGCATGGGAATTAACTGGTGTTTGTCTTTAACTTAGTATTTGCGTTCATATCTAAATAAACTTCAAATATTCAAGGATCTTTAATATTCGTTCGTTTGATGACATTTCATTCCATCCTGAAGGGCTGGGATCTTTAATATATATATATATATATATCAATTATTAAGGCTGGCGAAGAGTAATCTGTTGATCGGTAATCAGGGTGACATTACATCACAATATGAACGATAATAATTTTCTAAAAATCTTTCTTTATTAGTTCTATACTATTGACTTTTGATATACTTTAAAAGTACATAGGCGTTCAAATACATTAATGCATAAAGGCTGAAAATCCATATTTAAACGTTTTCGTACAGTTAATTAAGTAAATTAAGAACTATAACGAAAGATAAACTATTTTATTTTTCACATATTGTAAGATAAAAAAATTACCATGAACATTAAATAATAAATGGAAAATGGATGAGTATCGTTTTAAGAAAATCAATTACTGATAAGTAAAGGAACGTTATTTGAAAATCATCAAGACACATTTTCATTAAGTAAATTATTAGTTAATCTTATTATACCAACAAAAGAGCCAAAATAGTAGGCCTAACTAAGAGTCGCATAAATATCTTTTGCATTATTTTTCCCATCACCTTGAAAAAACTTTTTTATCTGAAGAAAAAATCAACATTATGAACATAACCCTTGATACGAACACATCTTTACTAAGGTGTGTATTCAGGTGATTAAAAAAAATTAATACAAATTATTTAGGCTTAGTTCGACGTCCTAAATGAACAGGGTGTATCTAGTTGCGAGCAACGCTATCCTTCTCTTGGATTGTCACACATAGTCAAGGCTAGTGTAGTAAAAGATCAGTCAACTAGACGTTATTAACCCTAGAATTACTGTCCGTTTTCTTAAACACATTTTTGTAAACAATTTACGCACCAGACTGCTTGTGGGTCCATGAATTTGTTAGTTAACGATCCTTAATAACATGCGAGTCACACAAACACATACCAAAATTAAAATACAAGCAAAAACACCATCAATATTGTATTTAATCCCAGTAATTACTACTCCGTTTTCCCGTATGTTTTACACAGAAAACGGGATTGATTTTACTTAATTGTTTTTCATCATTATTGTAACAAACAAAAGTAGGAAACAATGTGTGAATATCTTCGGTAGTAAACAGTATGAAAACAGGCAAATTATTTAATTACTTTGTCACAAAGTTTGGCAAAATAGACATATACAAACACACACACATTGATAATCGACTAGTTTCCTAATAGGGGTAACATGACCTTCTGAGAAGTACTGAAAGAACTTTAACGTGGATATAATTCAAAGTTTCGACACTGTCACCGTCCGGTGAAGTTGTCTAAAACTTCCTAAGTTGCTGCTTACACAGAAAAGCTAGCTTACAGACAGAAGTAAGTACACATCACAATACATTGTGTTATTTTGTTACTTGTGTTACTTGTTGGTTCTCCACACAACTCACAAATATAAATCTGCAAAGTTCGTATCTTGTCCTAATAGCTGTACAAATTTACTCACTTATGTTAGAAGTATCAAAAGTATTTATCATGGATAAATAATGAAAAACTGTTTGTGGTCAATCCAGTTTTAAAACAGAATAACCTTTATCACAGTCTTTCTTATTTCAGTGCAAAACTACACGATGAGCTGGCTATCTGCGCTTTGTGCAACACAGGAATCGAACCCCAGATTTTAGCACTGCAAGACCGTAAGCTTACCGCTTCTCCACACGGGACCTTTTTCATAGACAATTTTTCTAGTTCATTAAGAAATACTTCTGGTTGATTCAGTTTGGTATTTTCGACATAAACAATACATCAAGTGACACATGAGCTAAACGAGATCCCAAAGCTCAGGCGTTATCCCTAATTTAAAACTGCTGAACAAAAGAAGCAATTATTCAGCAGTATATGCCACCCACGTGGCTAATCTTAACCGAACAGCAGGACTGATTGTCACACTTATACCGCCTTCGTAGCTGAATGCATGGAGTGTGTTCAGCGGCATATTGCGGCTTGATATTTTGTGTTTACGATCTGCAACACAGTATTATAACACGCTCAACTCAAATACAGTTTGGAATCAAAATAGTCCTTATCACGGCCAATTCATCTAGTTCATTAAGGTGTATTTTTGGTTAATCCAACTTGGTTACGGAATATTTCTCAGAGGCTGTTTAAACTGGTTAGTTTACTTATAATGGAATTGGAGAAATATATTCTACATCAAATAACAATTAATCCAATTTATCTTATTATCATTAATGAAATATGATGGAATTGTAAACAAAACAAAGAATAAGTAACATTTCTGTTAACCCATCTAAACTTTTTACTATGTCTTTTTGGAGTTATTTCAGAAGAAAAAAAACATGTATTCAATACCATTAAGCTATTTATCAAAGACTTGACAAAGCCAGATTTTAATATAACGTAACAATGACAGGTATTACTGAAGTTTCGCGCCATCTAGTTTCAAATTCAATAACATATGGAACATGAAAATAAAGAAAATAATAACAAAAATACGAAAAAAAAATTAAAGGACAAGATGTTTTTTTTTATTATTCTATTTGGGAATTCTTAACCTACTAGGCAGCTTACCCTCGATAGCATCCTCTTCTTCACAGACGTAGTTGATGTGTTTCCTCGTTAGTAGGATGAGATCCCCTGTTTGAAGTCTCTCTTCTGACCCCAGACAGTTAGTAGAATAGTTCATAACACAGTTCATGCTACTCCGGAGGTTACTGCAAGAAGGAAGTAACGAAGGAGATAAATACACATTAGTCTTAAGATTTTGGTTAAGTATGTTTCGTAAGGGTACAAATAATAAGATAGTTTATGATATCCGTCTTATTCTAATCATGTTATAGATAAATTCGCCCCGAGTTTTACGTTTCCATAGAAACAAAAAACAGTGTAAAATAGTATTTTATTATTATTCGATCGATGAAGAATTTCATCATTATTCTATAGTTAATTCCAACACACATAACATATAAAAATATGACCGCGTTTTTGGAGAAAACATTACACAAGAATACAATCATTGAATTGTAATAACTATATTGTTCTGTCCCGTTTTCTTTGATTCAGTTTTATGAATGACAGTTGGTTATATAGCTTGTACTGTTTGTTGAATTTCATGCAAAGCTATTCGAGGGCTATCTGAGCTATCGGTCCCTAATTTTAAAGTGATAGACTAGAGGTAAAGTAGTTAGTCAACACCACCCACAGTCAACTCTTGGGGTAGTCTTTACCAATGAAAAGTGGGGTTGATCGTTACGTTATAACGCTACAACGAATAAAAAGGCGAGTATGTTCGGTGACGGGATTCGAACCAGACACCAAAAGATAGCGAGTTGAGCGCTCTAACAACCAGGCCATGCTAGACATGGAATATATAGCAATCATACTGATTCACAAATCTATACTAAAAAAACCTAATTCGGTAACTTGCCTAACTTTAGATTGAATTCTTCAAATCCAACTCTACCAAGCACGAGTTTTGCGTTAGTTTGTTGAATTATGTTTACAGTGAAGACATTAATTTTGTGTCATTGTAACTGAATATTTTGGTACCATTAAACCTCTCTCTCTCTTGCAATTCTTATCATACAATCAGTTTCGTATACTAAAATCGCTATTACTTCAATGATTTATAATAAATAGCAAGATATTTTTACTTTAAGAAATGAACAAGGTAAACGTATTTAAATACTCCCTTTTCTGGATATAGTTGTGTTCATTGGAATCAACTTTTTATATTTTATTTTTTTAAATCTGATATTCTGAAACATATTTCCTTTTAAACAGCACTTCTTAGCAAGGATAGGGAGATAACTGTCGATAGATGGCATATATCTAAAAACTTATTTAACCTATCCGGAGGAAATTAATGGTCCCTTCCTTTTGCTAGTGCAAATGTATACATATTTATAAAGATTTCTGTCTGTAATATTGTATTTATATATTTTTTATCATTGCATATAAAATATTCTTCTATTTACAAAAAAAGCCTCTAGTATTAAAACCATCTATCAACTATATTTAGGTTAAAATAATCCTAGTACGGGGGGTGGGGGTAGAGAATAGTATGCAACTCTCTCTAGTTGACAGTGAAGGATATAGTGTACGAGACATCCGTATAAGTTTTTACTTTTAACTAAAGATAGGGGGATACAGAAGAATAATCCACAGTATTCATTCAAAGGCCAGTAAAATTTCACTACTAACGACTTGGGTTAGTAAATCTTACCACCACCACCACGTTGATTGCTCCGCCATGTTGCTTGGGAGCCACATTAAAACTTACTATTTATCATACTCCCCACATTGTTATGTTACCAGTAATGTTGTTTTATTTCCTACGTATTCGAAGACTAAAAAATACTTATCATCATAATTACCACATGGCCTAGTTGTTACGGCGCTCGACTCGCAACCTACGGGTTCGTATCCCGTCACTGTACATGCTCACCCTTTCAGCTGTAGGGGTGCTATAATGTAACGGTCTAAGAGTTGACGGTGGGTGCTGCTTGTCGGTTACCTTCTCTGTAATCAGCAGTTCAAAATTATGGACGACGACATATAACCTAAGCAGCTTTGTCATAAACACAACAAACAAACGATGAATCCTCCTTAGCCGTCTAGAACCTGAATGCATCTAACCAGCTATGTTGAGTTTTATTCCTTACGCCCCTGAAGGCTATAATACTTAGTACGAGAGTACATTTATTAGAAGTAGATTTGTCTGTTGTTGTTAAGCGTAAAGCTATACAACTGGCTATCTATGCTGTGCTTACCGCGAGTATCGAGCCCGATTTTTAGCGTTATAAGCCCTCAGACATACCACTGAGCCACCGGGAGGGTAGTATAGGCAGTAGCATGTCACACCTTATCCTCATGAAGAAAAGAGATAAGTATCTTTCCACTATATTCTTTGACCATTCGTGTGCATATATTTCATAAAATACGTAAGAACTTCAACGTTTAAAAATACACAATGTGCATTTTTAACGTTGAAGTTTTTACTTATTTTATCTTTCCACTGTAAAGTACATAAACTAGTTATACAGTAAGTTTTGTCATCTCTCTTTCCCCCTCTCTTTATCTCTGTATATATGTGTGGTTATATATATATATATATATATAACGTTAATTGTTTTGGAATGGGAAGCTTGTCCTGTGCGTGAGGGTACATACCTCGTAACGTTTACACACTGTAAAAATACAGGGTGTCACTAAAGTATGGACATATAGGAAATCTCATTAACTATATTTTTTTTACCTCCACAGATTAAATATGGCTTTGTCGAAAGAAGAGAGAATTGAACTGGTACTTCTCAATGGACGTGAAGGGTGGTCATATCGAAAGATAGCATACCAAGAGGGTTCCACTTGGCTTTTCCACGGTGGCGAAGGTGGTTAAAAGTTTCAAGAAACGGGCAGTGTCATGGACAAACCCAGTTCTGGACACCCAAAATTATCAGACGAAACGAAAGAAATTTTCATGGCTAAAATTTACGCTAGCCCCAAAAAATCACTTCGCAGGACATCCAAGGAGCTGGGTGTTCCCAAAACAACCCTCAGTCGTATCTTAAAAGAGCAAAAGTTTCATCCGTACAAGTTACAAATCTTGCATCACTTAACAGTGGATGGCCCTGATAGACGACTCGAGGTATGTGAATGGTTTTCCAATAAATTGGATGAAAACACCGAAGACTCTGTGTTGTTCAGCGATGAAGCTTTGATTTATGTGAATGGTGAGGTAACAGACAGAATGTTGCATCGAGTTCACGTGAATCTTGCAAAGCGCATCAACCTTTGCATCACAAATGATGGAAATCATATTGAAGATGTTATTTGTTAATATTCTAATTGAATAAAATGTTGTTGAAAATTTCATTTCTTGAAATTTTTGCCTATGTGTCCAGACTTTAGGGACACCCTGTGCTAATAAAAAATTTGAAGCAAGGATTATACTGACCTCTTTGTTATGCTCCAGGCTTAAAAAGAAATCATAATTTAATGATTTATTGGTGTTTTCTAAACGCAAAGCTTTAGAGTGAGCTATCTGAGCTGTGTCCAATACTGGGATCGAACCCTAAATTTTAGCATTATATGACCTTAAACTTACAACAAACCCATCAGGGGGAAGGGCTCATTAATTTGCGATCAAATAAATATTATTCTATAAAACCTCAGGTAATATAAATTTAATTATTCAATAGCACAACTTGTTGATTTCTTTGTTTTTTTGAAAATTAAAAACAGGTTATTTATACCAAAATTGTTCCAATTTTAGTAGGACCTACTTCTTGCTTCTTTTTACGTAAATTGAAGGCTACACGATCTTTCAAGTCATGCTTGTAAAAAGCGTACTTCAACTTGTTATCTGAACGCTAAAACTGTGGCTTTACTAGTTTCTTACTTTCACTTCACCGAAACTGGTTGGATTCTCACTAGCCAAGTCTCCATACTTCTAATTCAGTTACCTTCTAACACAGCGAGACGTATATTTGTTTAGTCAATACTAATTATTTCTTGAAATATCTATAACACTCTGTATTCGGGGGCGGGTTGGCTCTGTGGCAGATCCCTATTTTTTGGAGCTGGTGACCCGGGTTTGAATTCATGTGATACCCCAAAATATTCCCTGCACTTTAAGCGTTATAATAGTGACAGTCAATCCCCTAGCATGGATGATAGGGTGCTACTTGTTGACTGCCTTCTCTATTTTCAGTAGTTCAAGATTGCGAACAGCGGTACACAGCTTTACCAATAAATACAAACATACACGGTTAGGTTAGTATTTCCGTTTCAGAAAAATTCTCGCTCAAACGATGTTCACATCAATCAAAAACTCGGATAAGCAGGTACCACAAAATTTCACTTACAGGACTGCGTTAGATTGCTTATTGTTGTGTTCGTTATCTAGTAAAATTTGTTACAAAACTCCAAGAAACCCGGATTTATTGTATACATGTGGTTGAGTAAGTTACATTCAAACGGTTTTGAATATGTAAATCAGAGTTTTACGTGGCATCCATAGCCGATATAACGTTACGGTGGGACAGTGTGTATCAAAACTACATTTTGAGATTATTTAGTGTTACGTAACTAATATGATGTGATACCATCGCAAATTGGGCGTTTTTTTTTCGTTTTTTTTTGGAAAAGGTATGTAACGCTTCAACCGTCGTAAAATAGTTATATACTCAGATCGTAAAGATGTGTTAAGAATGGGAATATCCTTTGTACTTAATGACAAGAAATATGGATCAACTTGGAGCACTAGAACCATCTAGAAGGAAACCTGCAATAAGCCGTTCCCCAACCGAGATAGGCAAAGTACAGCATTTTATTGACAGAAAGATCAGTGACAAAATCCATTTATGTTTCCTAGGCAAAAGTACGCTGTATAATCAAATCCCATGTATACAAATTATTATCACGACATATCCATTCAACTGTCGCATACCTCGAGCAGTTGGCCCGGCATGGCCAGGTGGTTAGGGCACTTGACTCCCAATTCGAGGGTCGCGGGTTCGAATCCCCGTCACATCAAACATGCTCGCCCTTTCAGCCGTGGGGGGCGTTATAATGTGACGGTCAATCCCACTATTAGTTGATAAAAGAGTAGCCCAAGAGTTAGCGGTGGGTGGTGATTACTAGCTGCCTTCCCTCTAGTCTTACACTGCTACATTAGGGACGGTTAGCGCAGATATCCCTCGTGTAGCTTTGCGCGAAATTCAAATCAAACCAAATCGAGCAGCTGTATACTTAAAAAGGCATTCATGCTATTCCACACCAATTCACTCCAGTCAAGTCGCCGGACGATAGCGCCTACGGATTTCTGTACGATCAAATTGTAGAAACAGGCGCTAAGATAACGTCGTCCTCGTACACTAGATAGATTGTGGAAAGCATTTATGTAAGAGAGGTGTGCTTTGGGCATCATAACTTTATGAAGGAGAAGATTTTTGCAATAGCAACTACGTTACAGTATTATTGTCAAGATCCACGATCGTCTTACAGAGCATGACTGGACATAGCAACATAGAGTTAATGATGTGGTGAGACTCCGAAATTGCTTTAGTATGACGTACTCAACCTCTATATTTGTATAAAATAAAATAACATCATTCTATTACAAATGCTTTGTCGACCTTTTACATGCCACTGATATTATTAAGTGCAAGGCATTTCAAGGGTATAATAGATATTCGATAGTGAATGTTAGATCTGATACTAATAAAAAAATAACAACAACTAAAATGTCGATGTTAAAACAACATCCTATCTCTTTTATCGTTACTATTAACTGACGTTTAATATTTATATAATCTATTGTTAACGTTTAATATTTATATAATCTGTTGTTACGTGAGCATTTACAATACTGTCCAGAAAAATAGATATGATTATATGATTCGAATAGAAGGCCAAGAATAAGTGACAATTATAACGCTATTCTGTTAGAGCCCTTTCGTGGCACCTTTCTCGTCCAAGCCAATCAAAAATATTACAGCATTGACGTCCATGAGCCAAACTTATATTCCCTTAATTACAAAGACAAATAATAACAATAATATCAACAAATATATATATTCTTGAAAACATAAAATATTTTTCAATAGGAAAACTAGCATGAATATGTATGTTACAAACAAAATAAAACCATAAACAAATCAATGCGCTACTAGGAAAAGTTTTCTGGCGAGCTTGAAACATTACACAATGGGAAATATGGAGATCTATGAAATATCTTAAGATTTATAAAAATCTAATGGCTGAAAAACTGAGTACATGTATTTATGGACGTTCTACGCTTCAACAAGTTAACATTTTTCGTAGCACAATTGTTTTGTTTTTTTATTTCATATACACAGTCTTAGAACATTCAGACAATAATTCATTTTGAATTTACTATGGGAAACTGTGTTAAATAAGGATGCCGGAATCAAATTATATTTAGGTTAGCAAATGGTAAGTAACATAACTATAGCGTAACTCATAACGATTCACTCTCGGCTTGCGGCAACGTCTCTAAATTTAAAACAATTCAAGTTAGGCACATCGGAGCTCATATTTTAAATAACCTGTTCATGACTGGCAATAATTATGTAAAATATTTGGATTATTTATTACTATTAGGGTTACACTCTCTTTAGTTATATAACAATGTCATATTTCAGACCTACATATTTCAATGTCACTGAGAATGAGACCTAAATAATATTTTAATTAAAGGATCTTTGACATTACCACCACTTCGATTATTACTATTATTTATGCTTTTATTGGGCCATGGCCTATCAAAATATTTCCACCAGCTCATTCTTCCAGTCTTGAAGCACGAAGTTGAGGATTTCATTTGTAACGAGCCGCATGTGAATGTAAAACGAGAAAAGTATTCAAACATTAAAAATTCCTTCGAGCTGTCAAAAGAGGGTGCTAAAACAGAAGATGCAATAATAAAGTTGTACTTATATCTATGAACAAACAGTATTTTTCACATTATTGCACAGTAAGAAACAAGAGTGCAAACGTTAATGTTTATGAACCGTCTCCCCCCCCCCAAGACATAAAAACCATTCACCCCAAAGCAAAAACCCCGTAAATCCAGAAATGTCATTTATTGGCAGGTTAATCGAAACAAAACTTTTGCATACAACTATACTACTTAATGAAGTGTTTCTACCAAAGCTTATCTATCAGTTAGCACCAGAGAAGTCAATTTCGGGTTATCATACGTTAAAGTGAGCTGTTTTCCAATTCAAATGATGCTACGGTACAGGATAATCGAAGCTCATTTGCTACTCGGATGTTATTACTAAAGGTTAGAACTCCTGCGTATAGTTATCACAATTGTTTTTAATTCCACCATGGAATATGAATTATGAAATAATCTTCCTGCTAATATGTTTCCGAAAAGCTTCCTTTTATTTAAGTTTCTGTATACATATACGTACCTTGTACAAGAAATATTGTTTGCAACGTAATACAATTAACTTGCATGAGTATTTAAAACATTAATGAAAGTTAATTCAATTTAAACAGTCAACATTTCATTATGAGTTACAATAGAATAGTACCCATTAAGCCTTTTTTCTTTTCTTTTTTTTAAATAACGTATAAGTTTATTTAATTGTCACAAGTTAAAAGGACTATCTAATATGGCTTCCATGGAAAATATGATTTTCAACATAGTTGCAGTTCTTTTCAAGTATAAAATTTAAATCTGTATGAAGTGAAACGCTTATGATAAAATGTACTGATAGGTGGCGTAAAATATTGCTCGATTTCATTTCCTCTATATTTGCATATTCTAAAGCAATCTACTTTACTTATGAGAATGTATATTTCTAAGTAGAACTAAATTTTATTTATCTTATAATGTCATTAGTTTAGTATACTATAGAAGATCTAAAAATAAATACTAAAATCTGCATACTAGTGATGTATTAAGTCTTATGTTCTGTTTTACTCCATATAAATTTCAAAGATCCTTTCAAAGTATAGTTCGATCATGCAGCAATGTGAAGCCTATTTTCACTTTGCATAAGCATGTGTTATCAGTACATTAAAGTTTTCAGAGGCAGTGTTATACCTGCATAACTTCATGAGATCCAGTTGCGACAGAGATGTTTCATCCTTCGTTCTTTCATAAGCGATAACAGTTTCACATTTTTGTAACTGGTTATTTGAACACGTAATGGCATAACCGGTAGAGAAACCTATAAAAATAATAATATAGATTTATAAAACGCCGTCTATGTTAAGACTATATATCAAAATGAAAATTCAGAAGCATCTGTTATTTTTAAAACATTAAATATCTGTAACAGTAGATGTCATTATCCAAAAAGTTTTATTGTTTGTCGTAAATATCAGTTTGCAATTTTGACCGACATCAATCACTTACAGTAATCGACTTCTAGATATACTTTCAGTGTGGAATTGTTTTTTGATGGCAACTCATACACATACACACAAACATACACATATATCATGATTTAAGGTCTCAGTCTTTTTTTTTTATATCCAGTAACAAAACCTTAATACTGACGTATTATTCGCGTCATCTGGTGGAAGAATAATATTCAGGGTATTTAGTCAGTTCACGAAAAAGCTAAAAAAGTTTTGAACATATGCATCAAGATGACAGAATAAATTTCAAAGTGGTACAATGGAATTTTTATTGAGCCTGTACGATCACGCATTTACTCAATGAAGAATTATTATAAAATGCAATAATTATAAAACTTGTTTCAGTGAGTAGAAAATTCAAGTGTTTTCGACCGGTTATTCTTCTCAGACAAGTACATGAATTAAGAGATGTTTCTTTTTATAAAACAAATAGCTTGCTAGTTTACCGAAACGTTCGTCAACACGGATACATGTACATTGCTTTCATCATGCATCTATATGAATGATATTTGTATGGAAGCAGATCTTCGTACTAACAAAAGCATTACCAGATGTCACTTCATGTGTTTTTTTTTTTTTTGGCACGATTCATTGAGGTCTACCATAGAAGTAAACAACTTCCTGTGAAACGACTTCCTGAGTTGATCCATGGGAAGCCATACGACTAGTGGTTGGATCGAATCGACAAAGGTTAAACAAGTGTGGCACCGTGACGTTAATGTTGCAGACTTGTTTCCCGCCCTTAGTGCTGCGTATTTTTTATATTTTAATACATAAATCTCACATCTAACTTCACTATTTGCGATGTGCATGTCAACATTATTTGCATAATATCCGATTACAAAACTTTTTCTTTTTTTCTTTTACACAGTTTCACACTTTCCTGCTGCCCATGAGGTGAAGGTTTCGTCGTTTGTTTTTGAATTTCGCGCAATACTACACGAAGGCCATCTTCGCTAGCCGTCCCTAATTTAGCACTGAAAGACTAGAGGGAAGGCAGCTAGTCATCATCACCCACCGCCAACTCTTGAGCTACTCTTTTACCAACGAATAGTGAAATTGATCGTCACATTATAACGCCCCCACGGCTGAAAAGGCGAGCATGTTTGGTGGGACGGGGATTCGAAGTGAGATAAAGGTCAGGAGTTATTAGCAAACAACAGAAGAACGTTTCATAAAATGAATTTTAAGTGTTGACTCTAGTCGGGTAAATTCTGAGGATTTGTGGAAGATAAAAGCGCGAAGTGTTTCTGCTTCGTTTAAAAACACCTCAAGATGGTGTTAGATATATTGCAACTGGTACATGTCAGTATATTATTAACCGTTCTCAATCTGTATTTCGGGGACCACAAGAAGTCCGTAGACTCCTTGAAGTGATTCGTGGAATAGATACGTAATTACAGACAGAGAACAGTATCTTTTGTATAGATGTCATTGTGGTCCGCTGGATAACAAAACATTTATTGGGCCAGAAACAAAGCAGTTTGAGAAACACTTGTCTATAGCATTCCAATTATTTTTACCGTTTCTTTAATTGAGATCACATTCGAACAGCCTTGGCTTGTTTCTTCGTTTGTTTGGAATTTCGCGCAAAGCTACACGAGGGCTATCTGCGTTAACCATCCCTAATTTAGCAGTGTAAGACTAGAGGGAAGGCAGCTAGTCATCACCACCCACCGCCAACTCTTGGGCTACTCTTTTACCAACGAATAGTGGGATTGACCCATGTTTGGTGGGACGGGGATTCGAACCCGCGACTCGTAGATTGTGAGTCGAGCTCCCTAACCACCTGGCCGTGCCGGGCCCTCGAACAACCTTAGAGTTTTCTATAAAAAACTTCTGTCAAAATTTAGATTTCAACTGTACAATAATTCATAAATACAAGAGGCGAAAACAAAAGTTCCTAATGTGTAAAAGGTGTTATAAATAATTCCATTCTGCAATAGTAAGTTTCATTGAATATAATAAAAGCCAAGATATCAAGAATCACAACTGGTGGGGTTCATTCCTGCTGATGTTGAGTTTAGAATATCTGGGGTGGGTATGATGAAACTCCTTTTCTGGGCTGACTAAGCATGGCATCATCGTGTATCAGTTAAAGATTAGTTTTGCTCGTCTGTTTTGTTGTTAAGTGCAAAGCTACACAATGGAATATCTGTGCTCTTCCCACCAGGGGTATCTAAATAGATATGTAGAGACATAAACCCTCATACTTACCGCTAAGAGGAAGATTAATAGAATAAAGTTCCTCTAGTCTTAACTAAAGCATAATTTTGGTTATGGAAGAAATACAATGTAATTGCACTTAGCGAGGTTTGTATGTAAAAATTAATTATAGATTTTGTTCTATTTTTCGTGTTTAAGTGTTTTTATACTGTGAGAGTATATTTTTAAAATGGAATTTATTTCGAAATATCAGTTGGAAATAATTCTCATGTGTTGATATTAATTATATGTACGTATTCTGAAGTTTTCAAAAGTCACGTATATACATCATTAATTAAAGACAAACTACACTTCCACGTTTTTCTTCAATACGTTCAAATGTTTCTTTAAATATGCTTTACACATCACTAATGTGAGACTAACTGGATGTCTGCATTTGATTCATTAGAACAGGCCCAACTTATTTTAAAAGTTGCAAAAACACACTTCCATTTTCTCTGAGACTAATTACACGTTTGCGCTTGAAGAGGATTAAATTATTTGAAATTCACGCATATAACACTTCAGTTCACATTATTAATTTGAGACTAAATGAATATACGCATTTTTAAAAATATAATCCACATTTTAATAAACCTTTAAAATATGTTTTAAAGTATTTCGGGCAAATTGCAGGCTTTTAACCAAATTTAGATTTTAAAATGCTGTTTTTCTCAGTCTTTAGGTTTAACACCTAAAATCAGTTTTTTTCTTTCGCTCGTAATAAAATGATAGAAGTTTGTGGTTTGATTACATGAAATAAAAGAGGCTACACAAGAGGTTAAAATCCTGCACCGAAACCTATAGTCTCTGCTAAGTTTCCAGGTGACCTTCCAGGAATAACGTATGCTTGGAGAAAACTGACAAGAAAAGTGTTAGTTTCATAAATCAGTATGTGTCATGTGAGAAAATTGGATAAAAGTTGAAAGAATAGCAGCTTCAAACCAACGTAACTATCGCCACGTGTCATTTTAATGGCTCCTCTCCACACCAACATTAATCCCTAGATAGGGCTAAATGCGAGGCTATTTCTATTAGAAGGCACTTTCAGGATTTTCCCCGTGCTAACCAATATATTAATGGCATTATGAATTGTTTAAGTTGAAACTTTTCTTAATTATTGACAGAAGAGGGCGTGTCGAACAAATTGTCTACTATTATGATCAACGATCCAGCTCATGGTTGTAATATAGGTCTGTCATCTTTGCTGTTACTTGTATGCGCAAAGCTTGTAACATATTACTTTCTATAGAAAGATTTCATGTGTTTTCTACTCTTTTTTTTTTTTTTTTTGTTACAGCGGGGTGTCGGCCAGTTTGAAAGTTATTATCATTCTTATAAAAGTAAGCAAAAGTTTTAGCCACTCTCGAGAGCTTGATTTAACCACTTGAACAAGTTTTATGATAAGCCCAAAGTCTGAAAATAGCGCGATGTAGTTTAGAGGAGATGGATATTTCATACGACACCTATAATTAAGTAAACACGACGAAAAGTATCAAATGTTCCATTCACAGCTAACCAAGGACAGTAATCACGTGTTCATCCATTATTAGAAACGTTTAACATTTTGTGCTTTGATAGTGCCATTACTTCTTAAAAAGTAAAATATATTTATATTCAACATAAATATTTGCATATTATATATGTTAGAATGAAATACCCGCACTCCGTTTCGGGGTTTAATGAACTTATGACTTACAGAGGCCATAACGTACCGAACAAGGTCCTCCATTATCCTCAGTTACTTCTATAGCTACTGCTAGGGGAGATAGGGGTCACTACTAAAACTAGCCGTTGAATGGGGGTACGAACAGTTGAAAACATGGCGATCTCAGGATCCCGAGGGGACCAGGATGTCTAGGAACATAATATCCGATGCCAGATTTGAGATTAGCGAGCCTGAAAACCTGCCCTAGATAACACCACGCCTGGACGGCTTTCCTGGCGCGTTTTAGTCCTCTTTGAAAGGGAGGCTATGCCATAGACAAGGGCAACCACGAGCATGTCCATCAAGTTTGCTTCTGTTGGCTTCAAAACAATGTGAATTAATAAATACATATATTTATTAATAAACAATAAAGTTAAGAAATATGATAAACACTACCCTTGATGTATACATTTGAAACAATAAGTGTTAATTAATATTCTCTTTATATCTATAATATCCTTTCAAAGTTAATGAAACCCTGGGTATTATGTTGTTAAGACTATCTACGCTGTGCCCATTGCGGGTATCGAAACCCGATTTTTAGCGTTATAATCTCTCAGACTTACCGCTCAGCCTCCGGAGGACGGACACACAAGAGGAAATACAGAACACATAGAAGACTGTCTATAATTATTATTACTTGTGATTTCATTTAACTAAACTGGACAATTGAATGCAGGTCGACAAGAGCATGAGCTTTTTTTCCCATGATGCCCAACTAAACTTCTGCATACTTGGTTTTCAAAATCTGCTCGAAATTAAACTAACCAATCTAAAATACAACGTGTATTTTCAGAAGAGAGAGAATTTAAGCTTGAAACCATACATTATTTTTGAGAAATTAAAAAGAAAACTTGACAAAATTAAAGACCGATGTGTGGGGAAGAGTGGTTGGGGGTTCCAGAAATACTAACTGACGTCTTAG